AGGAGATCATGCCGGTGCTCCAAGACCACACGATCAAATAGAACTAGAAGAACAAATTTTAGAATTAGTAAGTGATGATCCAACAGTAAGCACCCGACAAATTTCAACTCAATTGGCGATTAGTCAGTATAAAACTTGGAAAACTCTACGTGAAAATCAGTTCTATCCGTTTCACATACAAAAAGTGCAGGCCTTACAACCGGAAGATCATGAACAAAGGGTTGACTTTTGCAATTGGCTTTAAATAAACATCAAAATGATGACAATTTTTTAAATCAAATTTTAGTGAGTGATGAAGCCCTCTTTACTAGAAACGGAATTATTAATTCACGTAATTCTCACGTTTGGGCTATTGAAAATCCCCATGAAATAAGGGAAACCAATTTTCAACAGCGATTTGAACCAATCAACCTGTGGGCGGGAATTGTTAATGGAATTTTAGTGGGGCCTTTTGAATTACCAAATCGCTTAACTGGTGAAAATTATTTTGATTTCTTGCAACACAATTTGCCTGGTTTACTGGAAGATGTGCCTTTAAATATTAGACAAAACATGTGGTTTTTACAAGATGGGGCACCACCCCATTATGCAAGAAATGTGCGTGAATTTTTAAATAGACAATTTAATAATCGTTGGATCGGCCGTGGCGGTTTTGTACCTTGGCCGCCAAGGTCTCCGGACTTAAATCCTTTAGACTTTTGTTTGTGGGGTTGGCTGAAAACTCTAGTGTATAAAACACCGGTTAATACACGCGAAGAATTACGTGCTCGAATTGAGGAAATGAGTACAGTGATCAGAAATCAACCAGTGATTTTATTGCGTGCTTGTAAAGAGACATGGCTAAGACGCGCCCAGCTGTGCGTCGAGCAAAACGGAAATCATTTCGAACAGTTTTTGTGACATGCTTTTGGGCGCACAGGTCCGCACTGAAATACTTGTCGGGAGGATACTTTATAAAACAAGGTAACATTTTTTTTTTAATTTTTTTTTATTTTTACACACATATTTTGGTTTATCTTCCTTCTACAATCATTATCTGAAAATTAATGACTCAACTTCAAAGTCACCCTGTATAAGGGCTACAGGTAACAGTTATACAACAAAAGTGTAAACCTCTTGCAGCCGCTGTAGAACATTTGCGTGATTGTAAGATTCAGTTTTTGACAACTATACAACAATTCTGTTACATGATTCTATTTTATTGCAACCAAACTATTTCTTATGTATTGTATATGTGAACTGAAGAATATATAACTACCCAATTATAGTCATTTTGTTTACCTACATATCGGCAATTGTGAATTTCATAGACAGGCATATGATAAACTTCTACACCGTGATATAGGGCTATTGAATTATTTGCGTAGCAAATTTTATTATGATTATCGTGCAAAGTAGTTACACAATTTCCACGGGCTTCGTATTTGATTCATATTTTTAATCATCAAAAGTATGTCTAGATTTTTAAGATAAAAAACAGCTTATCTGCGTTAAATCTTCCACAAATCCTATATTTAGACACAATTACACCCACTTTATATCTGTAATTTCGAACTGAAACATAATTATTTAATATTAAATTGAAGATATTATATACCAATCGCCATATTCTGAATTTCAAGACTCGCGAAAAACTGGCTGAGACTCTGGTTCTATCGTTAATAAATTATTCAATTGCTGTTTACTTTCCTTGTCTTGATTACGTGACTAGATATCGAGTACAAAAAATTCAAAATAGCTGCTGTAGGTTCGTTTGCGGTCTGCAAAAGTTTAGCCATGTGTCTAAGAAGATCAATGAGCTTAGATGGTTGAGGGTTGACCAGCTTTTAACATATAACTTACTAATTTTAGTACAACGAATAAAAATCAATAGGCTACCTACTTATCTACTAAAAAGGCTGGTACCACGTGGGGATATCAATTACAGGAATCTGAGACATAACTCTGACTTCAATATATGTACCTAGTTATAGGAGCAACAGTTTCCATCGTAGCTTCACCTACAACGCTGTCAAGGTGTATAATAGTCTTAATGACAGTTACAAAAAGATGCGAATGGTTGCATTCAAGAGAGCCATTAAGAACCACCTTCTGGGGTCTGCTAGCTAAGCTGGCTGATATATTTTTTTTGTCTTTATTGTTTTTTTTTGTTAGAGCGGGCTATGTAGAATAGATGTACAACATATTAAGATTAATCTATTTAAGATTAATCTATTTAAGCTTAATTATTGTATATATTATTTAGTCGATTGCTATTCATTGTTATATTTTTCCTTTTGTATGTGTTCCTGCACTGTGAGGTTAAGTGGTAGAGTAGCCAGCTGGATAAACTTCGACTCGCAGTGTGGAGGGATTAATAAAGACATTATTATTATTATTATTATAAATAGAGGAATAAATGTTTGCCCAATATGGCGGGTGGTTGTGTATAATCATGGCAACGTCCATGTCGTCTTTAGTTTATTAGAATATTTTGGAGTTGCCTGTAGGTGTTAAACAACAATTTGACAAATGTCTGAAACGAAATACCGACAGAGTCGAATGTTTTACCCAGAATTTGTACCAGATCTATATGTTCTGTTTGAACAGTCGATAAAGCCTTTTGAACCAATATGCATGCGTTGTTTGTCTTAAAACATTGGTTATGGCATTTCAACAAAAATATGACAGCAGAAAGTTAGGTTATGGTGAAGTTGTTTACCAACATATTTAGCAACAAATGTGTTACGTGATTCTACTTTAATGCAACCAAACTATTTCTTATGTATTGTATAGACGAAGTGAAGAATATACAGGGTGGCGCATCGAAAACGAAACAAACGCATTTACTGGCAGCTCAGTTTTTTTTTTGGAAAAACGCTCAGACCCGTCGATTTTGTTTTCGAGGGGGACACAAGTTTGGCAAAAAATCACATTAACACGTGCAACCCCCTGGGCGGGGGTGACGCCAACCATAAAATCTTAAATGGAACAACCAACACAACCATTTTGACTAACGTGCAAATATGCCGTATAAAATAGTTTGTATAAAAGTTTATGCAACACTTAAAAATTTGGCCTATAACTATGCTATAAGAAGATTTTAAACACCTCATTTTAGAGCAAATAAGTTGCAGAAAGCAAATTTGCATTCCACACAACATTAAGCCAGCATTTTGGTGTTCAGGCAACAACAATAGAGAGCTTTAATGGCTGAACGGTTCTTTTACCAAAAGCTTATAGCACTACTTTGCTAGTTGGGTACTTTATAGCCATATAATATGTTACAAAAATAGCTTTCTATTCATATATCGTCGGTCTCCGCACGTACAGGCGTAAATGACAAATAATCTAAAATCGAGTTACGCCGTAATTTCACAGATTTTTTTTGACGTAGCTGTATATCGTTCGCTGTTAAGAATTAAAATTTTCTGAAAATTCCGAAAACAATTTTCCCGTACCGGCGTAAATAGATTTACGCCTCTGCGTTAAAACTGGTTCTACATCATTTTAGTCTAACAAAAAAAACGTTCAGACTAAAAAATCAGTATGTCATTTTCAATCACGTTTATTTTCGTTTTCTAGCTCTCCTGTCAAATTTGTAAAATGTTAGTTACGCCGGTACGTGCGGAGACCGACGACATGCACGAAACAGCGCTGTCTGCGGTTGGTTGTCGAGACGGAAAGTAAAGCTGTCAATTTTAATGAACTGCGTAGTCAGAGCAGCAGAAGATGTGATTTTCAAGCGAGAACTAAGCTATCTTACTTCTCCCAAAAGACATTCAACTACAAGGAGTATTACGAACGAAGTAAATCAATGAAAACAAACAACAGTGGAACATGCTGCAACTTTTTAATTGCGCTGCATAAGCATCAAGTCGGGCAGCTAACTGCAACTAATTAAATCAAAATAAAATACCGTTTCTGTATTCTCAAGCGAATGGTAGTTTTGTTTTGGAAGAACAGGCAGCTCGTTCCCAAGGCTACAGACTAGGACAGCTGGATCACTGGCGATCCATGGCACATTCAATCCAAAATGTCTCGTTTTCCTGATACTGGCAAGAATTCAACTAAACGACTAATAAAAAATTGATGGAAGCTTGTTTTCTGGGTAAATCGGGTGCGTAGATTCCAAATTCGATACAGTGCTAGAAATTAGGGCTAGCCCAGAAAAATAGTTAGAACATTGAAAAAATACTGAGAAAATAGACTGAACGTCAATACAATGTTATATCTCCCCTTCAAGAGAATAGTATCCTAAGATGCGTTATGCATTGCTCCCATTTTAATTCTCAAAGTTGACCCCCAAATGACATCTGAGGTTATCGATAAATTGCTTTCTTGAAACGCTGAGCCTTTTCTCGGAGCATTTTTTCTAAAAAATGCAAGGTTGCCAGGTTTCTGGACGTTCGTGAAGTTTCAGACGTAACAGCAGGTGAAAATCATTGAACCACTTATGACCGCTTGACTTAATGTGTGAAAATGAATTCTCGTGAAGAATTTCGAGCTCGACACGAATATGCTGTCGAAAATGGTGGTTGTCATTTGAATTTACCAAGTTGACGGTCAAATAAAAACTGAGGTCATTGTCAAAATCATATATGGGGTCAAATTGCTTTTCTGATACCCTGGAATTTTTCAACACCTATTATCAAGAAAATGCGTGGTTTTCGAAGTATTCGGGTATAATCTGAATTACCACTCATGAAAAGTGTGAAGGTCACCAGCTGATATGATTTTATAACAAATTATAGTAGTTGAGTTGATTCAATAGATAAGTGCTTTCTGGCTTAACAATAATTACAGGGGACAAAATCAATTATAGCAGTGACTATAAGGTATTGTCCGTATCAGCACTCATCAAAACAAACATTAAAAAGATACCTAAAATACCGTAAGTACTAAATTAAGTATCTAGAATCAATATGTTTATCAAAAAGAAATAAAAAAATTCCGCTTGAACGTACACTCGGTGCCTATAAAAGCCCTACACAACTCTCAGATTTTGTATAGCATCAAACCATCCTTTCACACAATAACAGTAGATCAACGATCCAACAAGTCAAAATGAAATTCTTACTTAGTGTCTTTGCAGTGGTTGCCTTAATGGCCCTATTCGTCTTTGCTGAGGAGGAAGGTGAGTTTAGAGATACCTGTTCCTCCGCTTGTCGTGTAGTGCTAGGGGCGTCCATAAATTCGTCTTATTATTATACAATTGTGTTTTCTTAGCTTGGAAGCTGCTTTAATGTCAAAATACCTTTAGTACAAATACTGACTTAGCTTCTTTGCAAACCTTTATCACCATCATCGTGGTACTCTCCTTCTTATTTTTCTTTTTCTCCTTAAGAGACTACAGAAATGTCAGGTGGGTAAGCTGAATATCGTATTTTTCCCACGTTTAAGAGTGAACTCCTTTCATTAAATTGCTTTCTACAAAATAATTTATATTACAGAGATGAAGCCAACGATATTCCGAGGATTTGACAGTGATACCCGAACACGATGCATCGATAGAGATTGCTTTGAATTATGCACTAATCAGTCTGCAAAATTTGGTCTCTGCATCCTAGGACAATGTTATTGCGTAAAATAGTAGAGCATGGGATAATTCATCACTTCTTATTATACAGGAATCCAAAATAAATTAGTTTATTGAAAATACGCTGTTGTACGTCTTTTCTACTCCACCAACACCTTGTCAACTATACAGGGTTATCCAAATTAAGCGTCCACCATTAGTAACTTTGTTATTAGTGAAAATACAAAGTTGTTTGAATTAGCAAACTAGTAGCATTTTTAACGCTGGTAAAAATGAGAAATAAAAAAAACAATTGAGAGTCGTTATTTTGATTTTTTTCAGTAAAATAACATTTTTTTAAATGGAAACCCCTGTATATTATATTTTTTTCTGTTAAAGCATCAAATTTTAAACAAAAAAGTTCATAATGACTTTTCCGCTAAAGTCAAAAATAAAGTCAAAATAACGATAAATATTTTTAATTATTTGCAGTATTATAATATTAAGACGGCTATGAAAACAACATGGCGTTCGCAACAACATTTGACAGCATTAAGATAAGCGACAAATTGTTAAACTGGACATACTCGCAACTAGAAGGCTTTGGAAAACAATGATAAAATCAAATAATGTCAAACATTAGTGTAAATACTTGTTTATAAGCTTTATTGTGTCATTAATTTAAAGAAAAATGTTCTCCCATGAAGAAAAGTGTGATATGTTAGAATGCTATTTAGTGTGCAGAAAATCCTCCTTGAGAGCAAGAGTGAATTATATCCCGCTCGCATTCAACCGTATGAACGATATTTTCTGAGACTTTATCGAAAATTTAGGGGCAACGAAAATGTTTTTGCTAAAACAAGGGCAAAAAAAGAATTCATAATAAGCGAGGCCACGGAAATTGCAGTTATTGGATATTTTGAAGCTTATCGTGAGAATTCAATAGCAGATATTCTCAAGGACTCTAATTTCAGTTATGGTACTGTTCAAAGGATTTTAAAAAAATACAAATTTATTCCGTATAAGTACCGACCAGTTCAAACGCTTTTGGCAGAGGATCCAGAGAGAAGACTTGTTTTTTGCCATTGGTATCTTAGCTTCTGTCGCCAACATGTAAATAACTTTCGTTACCTTTTATGGACAGATGAATCAAATTTTTCAAATACTGGAATGTTTAATAGAAAAAACCACCATTATTGGTCAAGAGAAAATCTTTTGTTAGTACATCCAAGAGGCCCACAAGTCCGTTTCAGTTTCAACGTTTGGTGCGGTATAATTGGTTCAAAAATTGTTGGCCCGTTCTTTTATGAGGGAACCCTAACTGGTGAAAGATATGTGGAATTTATGTCAGAAATTCTGACTAATTTCTTAGACGAATTGGATCTTATAAGTAGACATCATCTGCATTTTCAGCAAGATGGCGCACCTGCCCACAACTCCAGAGGTACTTATCATTTTCTAAGTACTACTTTTAATGATCAGTGGATAGGAACAAATGGCCCAATACAGTGGCCTCCCAGATCACCAGATCTAAACCCACTTGATTACTTCTTGTGGGGTTACTTAAAGAACCAAATTTACAAGCGAAGGTACGATAACCTTGACGCGTTAAAGACTGCAGTTAGGGAAAAGATAACCCAGATAGATGGTAGGACCATACTTAAGACAGTTCGAGCAGTTGAAAAACGTGCCCAAAAATGTATTGAAGAACAAGGTGGTGTTTTCGAGCATCTTCTTTAAAAAAAATTGTTATTGTATTTTGTAAGATTATAAGTTGATGTTGAAAATAAAGTTTGTCGATACAATTTAATTGTTTCAGATTGGAGGCCATAACTTCAACAATTTGTAACCTAGGAGAAAAGTTATTGAAAGCTTTTTTATTTAAAATTTGATGCTTTAACAGAAAAAAATATAATATACAGGGGTTTCCATTTAAAAAAATGTTATTTTACTGAAAAAAATCAAAATAACGACTCTCAATTGTTTTTTTTTTATTTCTCATTTTTACCAGCGTTAAAAATGCTACTAGTTTGCTAATTCAAACAACTTTGTATTTTCACTAATAACAAAGTTACTAATGGTGGACACTTAATTTGGATAACCCTGTATAGAGCAGAGATATGAGGCTACAAAGGTTGCAATATTGTTAATGGCACTTAGAAATTCAAGTTTCTTCCAAAGTGTTCAGGTACCCGCCGGGAGGTGATTGGGATAACTTTTTTATACCAATAGAAGGGAAACATATAGAATATAAGGAAGAAAAAGTCTTAAAACTGTTTGCGGTTAGAATGGGCACGTTTAGGGAACGACAGTAATAAATTTGAAGTACATATAAAAGAGCCTCAGTCATGCACAATGGAAATGTTGCTGTTGCAAAACCAAGAAAAGATGTCATCTATGGTTTTAATAATCGCATCACCAACATTATTTATCCCTGAACATTTTTTTTAAATCCTCTGGAATAAAAACGATGTTTGTGGACATCTCCTTCAAAGCTAGTGTCAATGTCGAAGACTAGACGATCTTTTATTTGTCAATAATACTTACACATATGCCCAAAAGGAAACCTAACATCGAGGCCATATTTTAGGTCAATATTAGGTAAGCAACAATATCTGGAATTGTTTTCGAGGTCAATAATTCTTTAATTACTCACCAGAGGTGCGCGTTTTCGGGTTTTAACCCAACCAACTTTGCCTCTTGGTCAAAGGTCTGTTAGGGGCCCTAATTTGGTACATAGTTACCAATTTTTGACAACGGGTTCAACTCTTAACACAATTCAACTTTTAGAGACAACATTCAAGGATATAATTACTGAAATTTGACAAAAATAGATAGCTTTGTCTTGGGTGTAAGCCTATTTTAACAAAATGCTAGTTGGGGGTGGTCGCGCAGGGTCGGCTTTCTAATGAATCAGTCGTCTTCTTGCGGAATACATTATTCAAAAGTAGCCCTTTTGGCAGGGATTGGCACAGCTATTTTTCACCTCCACTAAAAAAGTTAGTTTGATGATCATTTATCTAACATCATCTGAATAGGGTGAACAACATTTACAAAAAATATTATGCCCAACAACCAACTAACAATTATCACTCCTATTAGAGTTGCAAGAATGATTATACAGTATTCATTAGACAGCATTGTATACTGTAAGAACATTGGCAAAACCCTCTTAGAACAGCTATACATGCGGAATGGGCACACCTAATAGGACACATGAGTCATTTAAGAGGTTATATAAGGGCTGCAGGTAACAGTTATACAACAAAAGTGTAAGCCTCTTGCAGCCGCTATAGGATATTTGCGTCAGTGCAAGATTCAGTTTTTGTCAACTATACAACTATTCTGTTACGTGATTCTACTTTATTGCAACCAAACTATTTCTTTTGTATTGCATAGACGAAGTGAAGAATATATAACTAACACATTACAGCCATCTTGTTTACTTACATATCGGCCATTGTGAATTTCATACACAGGTATATGATAAACTTCTACACTGTTATATAGGGCTATTGAATTACTTGCGCAGCAAATTTTATTGTGATTATTGTGCAAATTAGTTACCCAATTTCTACGGGCTACGTATTTGATTCTTATTTTGACAATGATCAAAAGTATGTCTAGAGTTTTAAGATGGAAAACTGACCTAATCTGCGTTAAATCTTCCACAAATCCTATATTTAGACACAATTACACTAATGTTTATCACTTTATATCTGTAATTTCGAACTGAAACATAAGTATTTAATATTAAATAGAGGAATAAATGTTTGCCCAATATGGCGGGTGGTTGTGTATAATCATGGCATCGTCCATGTTGCCCTCAGGTTATTAGAATATTTTGGTCTTGCCTGCAGGTGATATACAACAATGTGACAAATGTCTGAAATGAAATACCGACAGAGTCGAATGATTTACCCAGAATTTGTACCAGACCTATATCTTCTGTTTGAACAGTTGATAAAACCTTTTGAACCAATATGCATGCGTTGTTTGTCTTAAAACATTGGTTACGGCATTTTACCATTTTACAAAAATATGACAGCAGAAAGTTAAGTTATGGTGAAGTTGTTTACCAACATATTTAGCATATGTACAGCCTTTAATAGTTACTAAACAACAGTTGTATAAGTGCTTCCGTTGGGAGCAATTTGTTGGCTAAAGTAGTAAATTGCACAGCAAAACAACAAGGCTCGGGTTTGTTTTATAAACGTTACCATGGATGCCACAACACAACCATTTTGACTAACCTGCAAATATGCCGTATAAAATAGTTGTATAAACGTTTATGCAATAGTTTAAAATTTGCCCTTTAAGGTGTTATATAACTATGCTATAAGAATATTTTAAACACTTCATTTTTGAGTAAATCTGCATTCCACACAACATTAAGCCAGCATTTTTGTGTTCAGGCAACAACAATAAAGAGCTTTTGTGACTGAGCGGTTCTTTTACCAAAAGCCACTACTTTGCTAGTTGAGCTGTATACAGGGTGGCCTTATTTGTGACTCTCCTGGTATATTTTGGGAAAAATGCTCGGACACGTCAATCTTGCTTTCTACGGAGACTTATTTTTATCTATAGCCGTACAATACAGGGTGATCCAAAAATAAGATATTGCGTTACTCTAGATTTGTAAATGGAAACCCACGTTTTTTCTTATTTTTTAGACTTTCCATGGAGTTTTTAGTAACTACGATAATTTGAGTTTTAGCCAACTTTCGAAGTTCCTTTTTTTATAAATTCTAAATTCGATGTCGATACAGTGCTAGAAATGACGGCTAGCCCTGAAAAATAGTTTCCTGTCAACTTTTCACCCTAGACCGATCTGACGACACTTTAGAATTTTTCACTATGATATTCATACTCGGCGCCTCAAATTACCTCATTGACCAAAGCATGGCTTCTGTGTAGTCATTGATAGCGAAAATGAGTTTTTAGCACCTTAAAGTCGCAAAAAACGCGTAGTTTTGCAATTTTTCGTTAAATAATTAGATCTAAATGATAAACGAGATCAGATAGGCGTGAAGCGACATCTGAATCTGCATTCTCAGCCCAAAATAAGAGGAATAAAGGTCATGTGAACCGCATTTATAGCATTTTAACATATAATTATTATGTACAGGGGTATTGTTACCAAAAAGGCACAAAATGGGTCAGTCGTGAACGTTAACGCAATATATCTTCTGATACGCTTTTTGGGTCGCTGAAACCAAATCCATGGCCATTCTGTCCGAAAATGCTGCGTTTTCGAGATACTGGTAAGATTGTAACTTTGACAAAAAACAACTAATAAAAACATCATAAATCTGTTGCCCGCCTATGATCGAGATGGAAGCTTGTTTTCTGGGTAAATCGGGTTCGTTGTTTTTAAGTTCGATGTCGATTCAGTGCTCAAGCGAATGGTAGTTTTGTTTTGGAAGCTCAAGCAGCTCGTTCCCAAGGCTACAGACTAAGAAAAAACGTTCCACGTTCGAATTCCTTAAGAATTTCCATGAGCCTGATCTTTTTTTACGACGGAGAGTTACGGAAAAGTGGTTGCTCCAACCGGATAGATGCAGCTCTTTTTTCAGCTGCTACCGTAGAAACTAATTTAATCGCTGAGTGACTTTACTATCAGTATTCGGCGTTCTTTGAAGGTAGCTTTGTTTGGGAAAGCTACCAGCTCGTTGCTCAGAAATAGTTTCGTCCCCTTTATCCATTTTCGATGTCGTTGTTGTTGTTGCCGCTGAATGGAGCTTCAAACATGCCTTAAGCTATATGCAAATTAAAGTTGTGCTTTTTTATTTTCACCGTTTCTCTACAGTAATAATTCTGCTAAAAGTAGTGACGATTTAAGTATATTGTCTTGAATGGGAACATGTTTTACATATGTTTCCCCATATAGATTGTGATATACGAGTGCAAAGTTGGGTTGTTCATGATAATTGTCGATTATTCAAAAGATGATGTATCTATTCCATTCTCACAATTAAAACTGTTTTATACGAGTATGGTTTGGAACGTATCTAACTCTTCTTGCTTAAATTATGCAACAGTGTGTGATAATAAAAGGCTGTCTTCAAGATCTGAAACAGAAATAAGTATATATATATACCTATATCTAGTACTTACTTGATTGCAGAGTAATATGAAGACCCTTGCATTGAAGAAAGAACTGACAGGGATGACAATGAAGTTTACTGCGAAAAAATTCAAACGCTTTTGTATTTTTCATTGAATATGTCAAATCCTTCTTGACTGACCTGGATACATCGATCCAAGAACTATGAAATGCGGCTTGTGGCATTTTCTCAGTGTGCCAAAAAAAAGTGGAAATTGAGTTAGGTATTTTGATCTAGATACAGCCAAGGGTTAGCAGTTAGTAGTTTTGCTACTTTCTGTTGCATTTCTGATGCAAACCAGCGTGGAAGTAGTATAAACAAGAACACAGAACATTGAAAAATACTAAGGAAATGGACTGGACGACAAAACAATGTTGTATCTCCCCTTCAAGAGAATAGTATCCGAAGGTGCGTTATGCATTGCTGCTAATTTAATTCTCAAAGCTGACCCCCAAATGACATCTGAGGTCATTACCCAAGTCACAGCTGAGATCATCGAGAAATTGCTTTCTTGAAACACTGAGCCTTTTCTCTGAGCATTTTTTCTAAAAAATGCATGGTTGTCAGGTTTTCTGGACGTTCTTGAACTTTTAGACGTAACAGCAGGTCAAAAACATTGAACCACTTATGACCGCTTGACTTAACGTGTGAAAATGAATTCTCGTGAAGAATTTCGAGCGAATGTGTTATCGAAAATGGTGGTTGTCGTTTGAATTTACCAAGTAGACGGTCAAGATCATATTTAGGGTCAAATTGCTTTTCTGATACCCTGGAATTTTTTAAAACCTCTTATCAAGAAAATAAGTGGAAGCTAAGTTTTCAAGGTATTTGGACATAATCTGAATTACCACTCTTCAAAAGTGTGAAGGTCACCAACTGATATGATTTTATAACAAAGTATAGCAGATGAGTTGATTGATAAGATAAGTGCCTTCCGGATTAATATCTAATGATTACAGGAAAAAAAAACACTCATAACAGTTACTATAAGGTATTATACGTATCAGCACTCATTAAAACAAATATTAAAGAGATACTTAAAATGACGTAAGTACTAATTTAAATATCTAGAATAAATATGTTTATCAAAAAGAAATGAAAAAATCCACTTGAACGTACACTCGGTGCCTATAAAAACCCTACACAATTCTCAGATTTTGTATAGCGTCGAACCGCCCTTTCACACAATAACAGTAGATCAACGATCCAACAAGTCAAAATGAAATTCTTACTTTGTGTCTTTGCAGTAGTTGCCTTAATGGCCCTATTCGTCGTTGCTGAGGCAGAAGGTGAGTTTAGAGCTAAATTTTCCTACGTGTTCCTCGGCTTGTCTTGTAGTGGTAGATGTTATGATTTTAAATGATTCTACTGGTCGCGGTTGACAGACTTAGGCTGGAATTCAAGGGAGTTAAGGGGCTAGTCGATTTGAACTTCTGACGATCTTAACCTCTATAGAATAGAAAATTATCCGTTTTATATGAATCTCTTGTAATTAACTGGATTTGGGCAATAACGCGGAAGCCAGAATTTGTCGGAGATATCGGCGAGTGTTTTAAGTTCAGATACAGTTAGGATTGTGTATAAAAGTAAAACTACAATCAGCAATAATTTCTTAGTAAACTTGACGACACAATTCCAACATAACGGCAAGCTAGTGTTGTGATTCTAATGAAATATGTATAGGACAACAAGAAGGTACTTAAAAATCCGAATATCAGAATATAAAAGAGACTGTAAGAATTTCCTCCTAGTTCAACACAAGTTTTAAGAATGTTCATGTACTGAGCTTTGATACTTACGAGGTCCTGTGCAGAAATGATAATTAGGAAATGTTGAAAATCAAAAGACACAATAATGAAGTTAATAAGATAACCAACCTAGCATATTTAACTGGTAGGATACATAATAATACATCATTAATTTCATGAAAATAAAGTAACGACCACCAGATAATATTTATCAGCCCCAAAAAGACAAAACATCAAATATCGCGAAAAATAGATCAAATTTTCACTATCTATTGATAAGTTGCAGTCTAAATGATAATATCTAGGATGGGCAAAACGTTGGATTGTTGTTGGACCACCACAGCTTCTAACTAAAATGATGAGTTAGCTATAATTTCCTTTATTCTGATAAAAAAACAAAAACACGTATTCATACGTTTTGAATATTTAACTAAAATACCAATCATTTTGTCTTTGCTTTATTTCTATGTGTGTCTTTGTCGAGCATTGCTATATTGATAATGAAATTTAGTGATGTGTTTTAATGGTTTGTTTTACATAATATCTTAACTACAATAAGTATTTTTAGTAGTAGTAGTAAAGTGTTTATTTTTGTTTTGTAGAGCCCTGAAGAGGCAAATAGATTATTCCTAAGCGTCGGCATCCTCGTAATAGGAAACTGTGTTTCCTTGAATCCCAAATCCAGTTAGTTACAAGAAACGTCTATTAAATCCCCAATACAATTTTTAGTTCCACTGTAGTTTTTGTTTTGGCTCGACATATAAACCTTTGGATATTAAACATGTCCATAAGTTTGTCTGATTATTATACAATTGTGTATTCTTAGCTTGAAAGCTGCTTCAATATCAAAATCCCTTTAATACAAATACTGAATTAGCTTCTTTGAAAACCTTTATCACCATCATCGTCGTACTCTCCTTCTTATTTTCCCTTTTCTCCATCAGAGACTGCAGAAATGTCAGGTGGGTAAGGTGAATATCGTATTTTTCCCACGTTTAAGAGTGAAGTCCTTTCATTAAATTGCTTTCTACAAAATTATTTATATTACAGAGGTGGCGCCAAGGCTATTCCAAGGATTTGACAGTCTTGCTGGAAAAAAATGCAACGATGAGGACTGCTACGAAAGCTGCAAAGAGCAGTCTTATATATTTGGTTTTTGCATCAAAGAAAAATGTCAATGTTTCCCATTGTAGATCATTGGATAATTCATCACTTCTTATTATACAGGAATCTAAAATAAATTAGTTTATTGAAAATACGCTGTTATACGTCTTTTCTACTCCACCCACACCTTTTCAACTATATAGCGCAGAGATATGAGGCTACAACGGTTGCAATATTGTTAATGGCATTTAGAAATTCAGGTTTTTTCCAAACTGTTCAAGAACAAGGGAAACATATATAATATAAGGAAGAAAAAGCTTTAAAACTATTTGTGGTTAAAATGGGCACGTTTAGGGTATGACAGTAATATATTTGAAGTAAATATGTTATAAAAGGGGCTTAGGCATGCACAATGGAAATGTGGCTGTTGCGAAATGAAGAAAATATGTCATCTGTGGTTTTTATAATCGCATCACCAATTTTGTTTGTCCTTAAACATTGTTTCCTGTCCCTGAAATAAAAAACAATGAATGTGGACATTCCCTTCGTCGCCACTGAACTAGTTTTCAAAAATCAGAAAGCTTATTTGTTCTTGAAATAGTAGTCACCTTGTGTAAGAGTTCCATCCAAATCCCAAGCAGGACTTTCTAAGTTAACTAAAAGGCCAATGATTAGCGGACCGACAGACAGACAGGCGGAAATGGATGTCATGGCCTTACGTGGTGTAAAGTTATATGAGATTCAAACACCATAACTTATTTTCCTGCTTCACAGATGATACTAGTGAGGGCGGTTCGTAGCTCCTTTGCCCGAAGCTGTACGATCTATACCAGTGGTCGCCTAACCGTCGATCACGAGCTACCGGTAGCTCGCAAAGGCGATTCTGGTGGATCATAACGTTTTTTAAAAAGGTCTAAGGATCATAGAAGCTTCCGTAAATTTTGTAAATTCTCATAATAGGCATAAGCAGCGGCAAAACTGCGGTGAGCGATCTGTTCGAGAACGATCTCGATTACTTTGAAACGAATAAATGCGCAAGGTGCGACAACAGTGCGCTCAGTCTGAAACTGAACGGCACAAAGTCCAGAATGGGAAGGACAATATTTCTTTACATAAATTAAAGGTAAAATGTACGTTTGTTATGTAATACATCTGTTTCCGTTGCTAAAAAAGGAAATATTGAGAGGCACTATAAAACTGTACATTCTTTTTTAACATCGCCTGTACGTGTTGGGTTCAGGTTTTGTAGATTCAAACGTATTGTCAGAAAAAAGCGCTTGACTTCTCACCTTCCACGCTCACAATGCTTATCTCGAATGTTGGATGTAGAACGAAATGTCTGTATTTAGAAACTGTTTACAAATTAGTAAACTCCCATAAACCAGCTTTAAATGCCTTTACATTAACTTCGTACAGTGGTGTTGCCGGCAAGACAAATTTTATCGCACTCGTGGACTGTTTTCCTAATAGCACAAGCGACTTAAAGTTTCTTTTCAGGTGCTCCAGATATATTCTAGATGTATACGAATGCGATCGCGATTAGCAGTGCGCCAAATAAATTCAAAGCTGGGACACCCGACGAATTGCACTCACTCTACGCATTTTGAGCAATCACAAAAAGGTTTCTCAATTTAACAGACACCCTAAATGTATGAAAACTGAATGCTTCTTTATCATCAAACAATACATGCAGCCACCACAGAAACTTAACAGAAAAACCTGACCATTTTATCACTTGTTGTTCATGGCAAGGTAAATCTATATGTAAACATTTTGGAATTCTAATGAACATACGTAAGTGTTTACCTGTTGTGTCACTCAGTATTTTAACTTCATACAAGTCACTTCTATTCACGTAAAAATAGAAGTTTTTCCTTCAAAGCTAGTGTAAATGTCGAAGTCTAGACGAACATTTACTAAACAAATCCTTGTAACCCCAAGGTGTACAGTGAGGTTATTTAGTAGACATATTGACTTGTTTTTAACCAATCTAACAAGGATCATTTATTTATCAATAATAGTTACCCATATGCCCAAAAATAAACCTAACATAGAGGCCATATTTTAGGTCAATATTAGGTAAGCTACAACATCTGGAATTGTTTTCGAGGCCAATAATTCTTTAATTACTCACTAGAGGTGCGTGTTTTCGGGTTTTGAACCAACCAACTTTGCCTCTTGGTCAAAGGTCTGTTAGGGGCCCTAATTTGGTACATACAATTTTTGACATCGGGTTCAACTCTTAACACAATTCAACTTTTAAGTACAACATACAAGGATATAATTACTGAAATTTGCCAAAAATAGGTAATTTTGCCTTGGGTGTAAGCCCATCTTAACAAAGTGCTAGTTGGGGGTGGTCGCGCAGGGTCGGCTTTCTAATGAATCGGTCGTCTTCTTGCGGAATACATTATTCAAAAGCAGCGTTTTGGATGGAAAATATCCAGTTCACGCTTCATATCGCGATCCAGAATTTCAAAATTTAATCTAAATAATTGACTGAAACTTGGTGCGAGTGCCTCAGTTACAAGCTTTACCATGTTGTAACTACAAAGGCGAACAAACTTAGTAACGAGGACATAGAAGCTGAGTGACATCCAGCGAGCTCAGCAGGTAATTTTGAGTTGAGCTGTTAAAATTAAATTCTGCGGTAAATCGTCTAATTCAATATCGACAGTGTCGGAAATAGCAAAAGCTTCCTACTCTGAAAACTATGCAAATAAAACGGTTTTTCCTTTACTGTATCCTTAATTATGAGTGGGTTATCTTCGGGCCCTGATGAGCAGAGCAAAGCTAAGGGCGGCACTGCACTTGTTTATTCAGGGGTTAGTTAACAAACGAAATGCAGAATTGTTTTATCTTTTAGTGAAAAAGTATCAACTATCATTAAGGCCGGGAACCGTACATAACAAATATACGAGTAAAATGACCAAGATCCCAAAAGGGAAAAGGATTGGCACAGATATTTTTCACCTCCACTAAAAAAGTTAGTTTGATGATCATTTATTTAACATCATCTGAATAGGGTGAATAACATTTACAAAAATATTATGCATAACAGTATACAGGGTGGCCTTATTTGTGACTCTCCTGGTATATTTTGGAAAAAACACTCGGACACGTCAATCTCGGTTTCTACGGAGACTTCTTTTTATCTATAGCCGTACAATACAGGGTGATCCAAAAATAAGATATTGCGTTACACTAGATTTGTAAGTGGAAACCCACATTGTTTCTTAATTTTTAGACTTTCCATGGAGTTCTTAGTAACTACGATAATTTGAGTTATAGCCAACATTCGAAGTTCCTTTTTTTATAAATTCTAAATTCGATGTCGATACAGTGCTAGAAATGACGGCTAGCCCGGAAAAATAGTTTCCTGTCAACTTCTAACTCTAGACTCAGTCTGATGACATTTTAGATTTTTTTTCACTATGATATTCATATTCAGCGCCGCAAATTACCTCATTTCGCAAAGCATGGCTTCTACGCAGCTATCGATAGTAAAAATGGGTTTTTAGCACCTTTTTTTTTTTTTTGGCTTTACGGCTAAGCCATGCAGCCAGACACTAGGTTGGTATATAGAATATATCTAATTATGGACAAACATACGACGTCACAACATCCATGGCGAAGGCGAGATTCGAACTGGCGGCCCGGCCGACCGGCTGATCTGTAGCACGACACTCTCACCGACGCGGCCAACCGAGGTCCCGTTTTTAGCACCTTAAAGTCGCAAAAAACGCGTAGTTTTGCAATTTTTCGCTAAATAATTAGATCTAAATGAACAACGGGATCAGATACACTTGAAACGACTTCGGACTCGGTATTGGCAGCCCAGGGTACGTGGAATAAAGGTCATTTGAAACGCATTTAAAGCATTTCAGCATATAATTATCATGTACAGGGGCATTGTTACCAAAAAGGCACAAATGGGTCAGTCGGGAACGTGAGCTCAACATGTCTTATAATATAATACGCTTTTTGGGTCGCTGAAAATGAATCGATGGCCGATTTAGTCCGAAAATGCCTCGTCGTCGAGATACTGGTAAGAATTCAACTTTGTCAAAAAACGACTAATAAAAAATATCTAAAAACTGTTGAGCGTCTATGATCGAGATGAGAGTTTGTTTTCTAGGTAAATGGGGTGCGCAGATTCCACATTTAACGTCGATACAGTGCTAGAACTGACGGCTAGCCCTGAAAAATAGTTTCCTTTCAACTTTTTACCCTGAGTCCGAACTGACGACACTTTAGGATTGTTTCACTATGATATTCATATTCAGCACCTCATATTACCTCATTGAGCAAAGGATGGCTTCTATGTAGTCATTGATAGCGAAAATGAGTTTTTAGCACCTTAAAGTCGCAAAAAACGCGTAGTTATGCAATTTTTCGTTAAATAATTAGATCTAAATGATAAACGAGATCAGATAGGCGTGAAGCGACATCTGAATCTGCATTCTCACCCCAAAATAAGAGGAATAAAGGTCATGTGAACCGCATTTATAGCATTTTAACATATAATTGTTATGTACAGGGGTATTGTTACCAAAAAGGCACAAAATGGGTCAGTCGTGAACGTTAACGCAATATGTCTTCTGATACGATATTTGGGTCGCTGAAACCAAATCCATGGCCATTCTGTCCGAAAATGCTGCGTTTTCGAGATACTGGTAGGATTTTAACTTTGACAAAAAACAACTAATAAAAAACATCATAAATCTGTTGCCCGCCTATGATCGAGATGGAAGCTTGTTTTCTGGGTAAATCGGGTTCGTTGTTTTTAAGTTCGATGTCGATTCAGTGCTCAAGCGAATGGTAGTTTTGTTTTGGAAGCTCAAGCAGCTCGTTCCCAAGGCTACAGACTAAGAAAAAACGTTCCACGTTCGAATTCCTTAAGAATTTCCATGAGTCTGATCTTTTTTTACGACGGAGAGTTACGGAAAAGTGGTTGCTCCAACCGGATAGATGCAGCTCTTTTTTCAGCTGCTACCGTAGAAACTAATTTAATCGCTGAGTGACTTTACTATCAGTATTCGGCGTTCTTTGAAGGTAGCTTTGTTTGGGAAAGCTACCAGCTCGTTGCTCAGAAATAGTTTCGTCCCCTTTATCCATTTTCGATGTCGTTGTTGTTGTTGCCGCTGAATGGAGCTTCAAACATGCCTTAAGCTATATGCAAATTAAAGTTGTGCTTTTTTATTTTCACCGTTTTCTCTACAGTAATAATTCTGCTAAAAATAGTGACGATTTAAGTATACTGTCTTGAACGGGAACATGTTTACATATGTTTCTCCATATAGATTGATATACGAGTGCAAAGTTGGGTTGTTCACGACATTTGTCGATTATTCAAAAGATAATGTATCTATTCAATTTTCACAATTAAAACTATTTTATACGAGTATCGTTTGGAACGAATCTAACTCGTCTTGCTTAAATTATGCAACAGTGTGTGATAATAAAAGGCTGTCTTCAAGATATGAAACAGAAATAAGTATATATATACCTATATCTAGTACTTACTTGATTGCAGAGTAATATGAAGACCCTTGCATTGAAGAAAGAACTGACAGGGATGACAATGAAGTTTACTGCGAAAAAATTCAAACGCTTTTGTATTTTCCATTGAATATGTCAAATCCTTCTTGACTGACCTGGATACATCGATCCAAGAACTATGAAATGTGGCTTGTGGCATTTTCTCAGTGTGCCAAAAAAAAGTGAAAATTGAGTTAGGTATTTTGATCTAGATACAGCCAAGAAACTGCTACTTTCTGTTGCATTTCTGGAGCAAACCAGCGTGGAAGTAGTATAAACCAGAACACAAATAGACGGTCCAATGAAACCTGAGGTCATGGTCAAGATCATATTTAGGGTCAAATTGCTTTTCTGATACCCTGGAATTTTTTAAAACCTCTTATCAAGAAAATAAGTGGAAGCTAGGTTTTCGGGGTATTTGGATATAATCTCAATTACCACTCATTAAAAGTGTGAAGGTCACCAACTGATATGATTTTATAACAAAGTATAGCAGTTGAGTCGATTCAATAGATAAGTGATTTCCGGTATAAAAATAATTACAGGAAACAAAAAGACTCATAACAGTGACTATAAGGTATTATACGTATCAGCACTCGTTAAAACAAATATTAAAGAGATACTTAAAATGACGTAAGTACTAATTTAAATATCTAGAATAGATATGTTTATCAAAAAGAATTAAAAAAATCCACTTGAACGTACACTCGGTGCATATAAAAGCCCTACACTCTCAGATTTTGTATAGCATCAAACCGTCCGTTCACACAATAACAGTAGATCAACGATCCAACAATTCAAAATGAAATTCTTACTTAGTGTCTTTGCAGTAGTTGCCTTAATGGCCCTATTCGTCGTTGCTGAGGCAGAAGGTGAGTTTAGAGCTAACTTTTCCTAATTGCTCCTCCGCTTGTCTTGTAGTGGTAGAGGTTATGATTTTAAATGATTCTACTAGTCGCGGTTGACAGACTTAGGCTGGAATTCAAGGGAGTTAAGGAGGAGTATGGCTAGTCGATTTGAACTTCTGACGATCTTAACCTCTATAGAATAGAAAATTATCCTTCTAACGACTCTTATTTATATGAATTTCTTGTAATTAACTGGATTTGGGCAATAACGCGGAAGCCGGAATTTGTCGGAGATATCGGCGAGTGTATTAAGTTCAGATACAGTTAAGATTATGTATAAAAATGAAACTACAATCAGCAATATTTTCTTAGTAAACTTGAGGACACAATTTCAACAAAACGGCAAGCTAGTGTTGTGATTCTAATGAAATATTTATAGGACAACAAGAAGGTACTTAAAAATCCAAATATCAGAATAGAAAAGAGACTGTAAGAATTTCCTCCTAGTTCAACACAAGTTTTAAGAATGTCATGTACTGAGCTTTGATACTTACGAGGTCCTATGCAGAAATGATATTTAGGAAATGTTGAAAATCAAAAGACACAATAATGGAGTTAATAAGATAACCAACCTAGCATATTTAACTAGTAGGATACATAATAATACATCATTAATTTCATGAAAATAAAGTAACGACCACCAGATAATATTTGTCAGCCCCAAAAAGGCAAAACATCAAATATCGCGAAAAATAGATCAAATTTTCACTATTTATTGATAAGTTGCAGTCTAAATGATAATATCTAGGATGGGCAAAACGTTGGGTTGTTGTTTGACCACCACAGCTTCTAAATAAAATGATGAGTTAGCTATAATTTCCTTTATTCTGATAAAAAAACAAAACAAGTATTCATACGTTTTGAATATTTAACTAAAATACGAATCATTTTGTCGTGGTTTTATTTCTATTTGTGTCTTTGTCGAGCATTGCTATATTGATAATGGAATTTAGGAATGTGTTTTAATAGTTTATTTTACATAATATCTTAACTACAATAAGTATTTTTAGTAGTAGTAGTAAAGTGTTTTATTTTTGTTTTGTAGAGCCCTGAAGAGGCAAATAAATTATTCCTAAACGTCGGCATCCTCGTAATAGGAAACTGTGTTTCCTTGAATCCCAAATCCAATTAGTTACAAGACGCGTCTATTAAATCCCCTATAACATTTTTAGTTCTACTGTAGTTTTGGTTTTGGCTCGACATACAAACCTTTGAATATTAAACATGTCCATAAGTTCGTCTGATTATTATACAATTGTGTATTCTTAGCTTGAAAGCTGCTTTAATATCAAAATCCCTTTAATACAAATACTGAATTAGCTTCTTTGCAAACCTTTATCACCATCATCGTCGTACTCTCCTTCTTATTTTCCTTTTTCTCCATAAGAGACTACAGAAATATCAGGTAGGTAAGGTGAATATCGTATTTTTCCCACGTTTAAGAGTGAAGTCCTTTCATTAAATTGCTTTCTACAAAATTATTTATATTACAGAGGTGGCGCCAAGGCTATTCCAAGGATTTGACAGTCATCCTGAAACAAAATGCATCGATGAGGAGTGCTACGAAAGCTGCAAAGAGCAGTCTCATATATTTGGTTTTTGCGTCAAAGAAAAATGTCAATGTTTCCCATTGTAGAGCATTGGATAATTCATCACTTCTTATTATACAGGAATGTAAAATAAATTAGTTTATTGAAAATACGCTGTTATACGTCTTTTCTACTCCACCAACACCTTTTCAACTATATAGCGCAGAGATATGAGGCTACAACGGTTGCAATATTGTTAATGGCATTTAGAAATTCAAGTTTCTTCCAAAGTATTCAGGAACCCGCCGGGAGGTGATTGGGATTATTTTTTTATACCAATACAAGGGAAACATATATAATATAAGGAAGAAAAAGCTTTAAAACTGTTTGCGGTTAAAATGGGCACGTTTAGGGTACGACAGTAATATATTTGAAGTAAATATGTTATAAAAGGGCCTTAGTCATGCACAATGGAAATGTGGCTGTTGCAAGATGAAGAAAATATGTCATCTGTGGTTTTTACAACCGCATCACCAATTTTGTTTATCCTTGAACATTATTTCTAAGTCCCCTGAAATAAAAAATAATGATTGTGGACATTTCCTTCGTCGCCACTGAACTAGTTTTCAAAAATCAGAAAGCTAATTTGTTCTTGAAATAGTAGTCACCTTGTGTAAGAGTTCCATCCAAATCCCAAGCAGGACTTTCTAAGTTAACCAAAAGGCCAATGATTAGCGAACAGGCAGACAGGCGGAAATGGTTGTCATGGCCTTACGTTGTGTAAAGTTATATGAGATTCAAACACCATAACTTATTTTCCTGCTTCAGAGATGATACTAGTGAGGGCGGTTCGTAGCTCCTTTGCCCGGAGCTGCACGATCTATACCAGTGGTCACCTAACCGTCAATCGCGAGCTACCGCTAGCTCGCACAGGCGATTCTGGTGGATCATAACGTTTTTTAAAAAGGTCTAAGAATCATAGAAGCTTCCGTAAATTTTGTAAACTCTCATAATAAACACAAGCAGCGGCAACAATGCGGTGAGCGATCTGTTCGAGAACGATCTCGGTTACTGTGAAACGAATAAATACGCAAGCTGCGACACGACAGTGCGCTCAGTCTGAAACTGAACGGCACTAAGTCCAGAATGGGAAGGACAATATTCCTTTACATAAATTAAAGGTAAAATGTACGTTTGTTATGTCATACATCTGTTTCCGGTGCTAAAAAAGGGAATATTGAGAGGCACTATAAAACTGTACATTCTTTTTTAACATCGCCTGTACGTGTTGGGTTCAAGTTTTGTAGTTTCAAACGTATTGTCAGAAAAAGCGCTTAACTTCTCACCTTCCACGCTCACAATGCTTTTCTCGAATGTCGCATGTGGAACGAAATGGCTGTATTCAGAAACGGACTGTTTACAAATTAGTAAACTCCCATAAACCAGCTTTAAATGCCTTACCATTAACTCCGTACAGCGGTGTTGCCGGCAAGACAAATTTTATCGCACTCGTGGACTGTTTTCCTAATAGCACAAGCGACTTAAAGTTTCTTTTCAGGTGCTCCAGATATATTCTAGATGTATACGAATGCGATCGCGATTAGCAGTGCGCCAAATAAATTCAAAGCTGGGACACCCGACGAATTGCACTCACTCTACGCATTTTGAGCAATCACAAAAAGGTTTCTCAATTTAACAGACACCCTAAATGTATGAAAACTGAATGCTTCTTTATCATCAAACAATACATGCAGCCACCACAGAAACTTAACAGAAAAACCTGACCATTTTATCACTTGTTGTTCATGGCAAGGTAAATCTATATGTAAACATTTTTGGAATTCTAATGAACATACGTAAGTGTTTACCTGTTGTGTCACTCAGTATTTTAACTTCATACAAGTCACTTCTATTCACGTAAAAATAGAAGTTTTTCCTTCAAAGCTAGTGTCAATGTCGAAGTCTAGACGAACATTTACTAAATAAATCCTTGTAACCCCAAGGCGTAAAGTGAGGTTATTTAGTAGACATATTGACTTGTTTTTAACCAATCTAACAAGGATCTTTTATTTGTCAATAATACTTACTCATATGCCCAAAAAGAAACCTAACATCGAGGCCATATTTTAGGTCAATATTAGGTAAGCTACAACATTTGGAATTGTTTTCGGGGTCAATAATTCTTTAATCACTCACTAGAGGTGCGCTTTTTCGGGTTTTGAACCAACCAACTTTGCCTCTTGGTCAAAGGTCTGTTAGGGGCCCTAATTTGGTACATACAATTTTTGACATCGGGTTCAACTCTTAACACAATTCAACTTTTAAATACAACGTACAAGTATATAGTTACTGAAATTTGACAAAAATACGTAACTTTGTCTTGGGTGTAAGCCGATTTTAACAAAATGCTAGTTGGGGGTGGTCGCGCAGGGTCGGCTTTCTAATGAATCGGTCGTCTTCTTGCGGAATACATTATTCAAAAGCAGCGTTTTGGATGGAAAATATCCAGTTCACGCTTCATATCGCGATCCAGAATTTCAAAATTTAATCTAAATAATTGACTGAAACTTGGTGCGAGTGCCTCAGTTACAAGCTTTACCATGTTGTAACTACAAAGGCGAACAAACTTAGCAACGAGGACATAGAAGCTGAGTGACATCCAGCGAGCTCAGCAGGTAATTTTGAGTTGAGCTGTTAAATTAAATTCTGCGGTAAATCGTCTAATTCAATATCGACAGTGTCGGAAATAGCAAAAGCTTCCTACTCTGAAAACTATGCAAATAAAACGGTTTTTCCTTTACTGTATCCTTAATTATGAGTGGGTTATCTTCGGGCCCTGATGAGCAGAGCAAAGCTGAGGGCGGCACTGCACTTGTTTATTCAAGGGTTAGTTAACAAACGAAATGCAGAATTGTTTTATCTTTTAGTGAAAAAGTATCAACTATCATTAAGGCCGGGAACCGTACATAACAAATATACGAGTAAAATGACCAAGATCCCAAAAGGGAAAAGGATTGGCACAGATATTTTTCACCTCCACTAAAAAAGTTAGTTTGATGATCATTTATTTAACATCATCTGAATAGGGTGAATAACATTTACAAAAAATATTATGCATAACAGTATACAGGGTGGCCTTATTTGTGACTCTCCTGGTATATTTTGGAAAAAACGCTCGGACACGTCAATCTCGGTTTCTACGGAGACTTCTTTTTATCTATAGCCGTACAATACAGGGTGATCCAAAAATAAGATATTGCGTTACACTAGATTTGTAAGTGGAAACCCACATTGTTTCTTAATTTTTAGACTTTCCATGGAGTTCTTAGTAACTACGATAATTTGAGTTATAGCCAACATTCGAAGTTCCTTTTTTATAAATTCTAAATTCGATGTCGATACAGTGCTAGAAATGACGGCTAGCCCGGAAAAATAGTTTCCTGTCAACTTCTAACTCTAGACTCAGTCTGATGACATTTTAGATTTTTTTCACTATGATATTCATATTCAGCTCCGCAAATTACCTCATTTTGCAAAGCATGGTTTCTACGCAGCTATCGATAGTAAAAATGGGTTTTAGCACCTTTTTTTTTTTTTTGGCTTTACGGCTAAGCCATGCAGCCAGACACTAGGTTGGTATATAGAATATATCTAATTATGGACAAACATACGACGTCACAACATCCATGGCGAAGGCGAGGTTCGAACTGGCGGCCCGGCCGGCCGGCTAATCAGTAGCGTGACACTCTCACCCACGTGGCCAACCGAGGTCCCGCTTTTAGCACCTTAAAGTCGCAAAAAACCCGTAGTTTTGCAATTTTTCGCAAAATAATTAGATGTAAATGATAAACGGGATCAGATACACGTGAAACGGCTTCGTATTCGGTATTGGCAGTCCAAAATGCGTGGAGTAAATGTCATTTGAACGCATTTAAAGCATTTTAGCATATAATCATCATGTACAGGGGCATTGTTACCAAAAAGGCACAAAATGGTTCAGTAGGGAACGTTAACGCAGGATATCTTATAATACCCTTTTAGGGTCGCTGAACCCGAATCCGTGGCTCATTCAGTCCGAAAATTATTCGTTTTCGAGATACTGGCAAGATTTTAACTTTGACAAAATACGAGTAATAAAAAACATATTAAATCTATTGCCCGTCTATGGTCGAGATGGAAGCTTGTTTTCTGGGTAAATCGGGTCCGTTATTTCTACGTTCGATGCCTATACAGTGTTCAAGCGAATGGTAGTTTTGTTTTGGAAGCTCAAGCAGCTCGTTCCCAAGGCAGACACTATGAAAAAACGTTCCACGTTCGAATTCCTTAAGAATTTCCATGAGTCTGATCTTTTTTTACGACGAAGAGTTACGGAAAAGTGGTTGCTCCAACCGGATAGATGCAGCACTTTTTTCAGCTGCCACCGTAGAAACTAATTTAATCGCTAAGTGACTTTCCTATCAGTATTCGGCATTCTTTGAAGGTAGCTTTGTTTGGGAAACCTACCAGCTCGTTGCTCAGAACTGGTTTCGTCCCCTTTATCCATTTTCGATGTCGTTGTTGTTGTTGCCGCTGAATGGAGCTTCAACATGCCTTAAGCTATATGCAAATTAAAGTTGTGCTTTTTTATTTTCACCGTTTCTCCACAGTAATAATTCTGCTAAAAATAGTGACGATCTAAGTATATTGTCTTGAATAGGAACATGTTTTTATATGTTTCTCCATATAGATTGATATACGAGTGCAAAGTTGGGTTGTTCACGATATTTGTCGATTATTCAAAAGATGATGTATCTATTCCATTCTCACAATTAAACTATTTTATACGAGTATCGTTTGGAACGTATCTAACTCTTCTTGCTTAAATTATGCAACAGTGTGTCATAATAAAAGGCTGTCTTCAAGATCTAAAACAGAAATAAGCATATATATATATATATAACTTGAGACGTGGTCATTGTCGTCTAGACCAGTTAGGTGAAAAATTAAAGCTTCCGCCTTTTGTTGGGTACTTCGACAAAATTTAAGCAAAGAGGACTCTTTATACTTTTTTTAATTCTCTCTAGCTTTCAATGGACTTTGCCATCATCATCAGGAGCTGCAATTACAATGATAACAGTAGCAACAAAGGTGTAAAATGAATTTAAATTGACTCAACTTACAGTAGTATGTGAGGATG